TCGGCAGAGAGCTTGTCGATGAAGAACTTGTAGAAGTCGGAGTTGAAGAGGTAGGCGGGGATGCCTCGTTCAGCATGGGGCCGTTGGATTCGGGGGCGAAATCGAACATGAAGAAGTTTATGGTCACTGGCAGGTATTCCTTTTCGTTCGAGTGGCGAGTCGTCGGCCACCATGATCGTCTCAATATGGGTGAGATTATGTGCCTGGAGGGAGGTGAAGAAGGAGGAGGAGGAGGAGGCAGAGGAGGAGGAGGAGGAGGAGGAAGGGAGGAAGAAGAGGACGAATAAACAAAAGACCGCACGAAGAGAAACGGGCAAAGGGGAACGCTGATACGGAATGCCCCAGAATCGTATCATCGAGTTCGGTTCTCGTTGGGGAACATACAGCGCACCGAAGCTGGGAGAACGCAGCGACAAAACTGGGAGAAAACGGTGGCCGTTACACTTCCATTTGCTTCGAACGAGAATTTCAGATCAATCAATCGAGGGATATGTCGACGGGTCAGCCACCCCCCGCATCGCCAGGAGGACGAAAACGAGGAGGAGGAGGAGGAGGAGAAGAAAGCCTCGGGCCAGAGCGGGCCTGGAACTATGCGCGTCGACCTCAGGTGGGCAACCGCAACGAGATACTCCCCGACGCACAATCTCACATTACAACATCGTTTCCCGATGTCTCGCTTTCTCGCACATCCCCTTACCGATATTGCGTTGAGGCCAAGATGAGCCGCAGGTATTGCTCTTATCGACAGCGTCCAACTTGGCTTGAAGAAGGCCGAGAGGACAAAACAAACGATGCCAAGGCACTCCATGGGATCGGATTCCCGGCACGAACACATCGTACTCACATCTCCGTCAAAGACCTGGGACTACTTATCATTTGCATCGACATCGGCAGCATAATAAGCAAAACGCCAATATCAAACATGCTTCTCAGCTTACTTCAAAATCTTCTAAAACGTGTTGATAAAAATTGGCATGGCACTCGTGCTCCGAATCAGCAGACTCACCGACCAGCTGCCCGTCCAACAGACCATCCATCAGACCAGCTTCCCACCCACCGACAAGCGACCAGCAGACTAAGTAGCAGACAACACAGCAGCACAACCGGCAGACCACACAGCACATCCGACGGCCACCAGCAGACACCCACCGACTAGCAGACCCACCGATCACCGACAGGCTGGCAGAACCACTAACCAGCAGGCTACAGAACAAAGACCAGCAGAGCACCAACTACTGACCAACAGACCCACAGACCGCCGACTCCAACTCCCGCCCTACCTAACAAGCCTGCCGCCGTTCTGGCTTGTACCGCCCCCTCCATCGTATGGTGCGCCATGCATCTATCTACCTGCGGTGCCGCCTCCGCCGTCACGGGCTGCAGGCGACTTCCATAATGGTAACGACATTGCGGCTTACGACGTTCACGACACTAAAGAACCGACTGCGGCGCCACCGCGGGCCACCTTTTCGGCGCCATTACGGCGCCCACCGGCTACTCTGCAGATTCACCGGCCAGGAGACCACCAACCAGCAGGCTGCAGACCTCAGACCAGCAAAGCACCGACCATCAGACTAACAACCAGCAGCCCACGACCAGCAGACCACCGACCTCCGACCAGCAACTGCTGACCGCCGAACAGCAGACGAACGACCAGCAGAACACTTACCAACAATCCATGGACAACGGCTCAGCAGACTACCATAAAGCAGACCAACGACCAGCGGACAACCGACCAGCGCACAAGCAACACGACAGCCACCACAACAGCCACAAAGACATCCACCACGACTGCCACCAAGCACCACAGCAGCCGCTGCGGCAACCACCACGGCAGCCACCAAGCACCACGACAGCCACCACGACAGCTACTACGGACACGCACACCACGGCGACCACCACGACAGCACCTCTTACGTGCAAGCACCCCACGGCGGCCACCACGACGGCCACGACAGCTACGACAGCGCCTCCCACGTGCAAGCACACTAGGGCGGCCACCGAGGCAACACACCACGGCGGCTACCACGATACCCGCGCCAGCCACGACATCAACACTCACGAACAAGCACTCCAAGGCGACCACAGCGGCAGCACGTCCCACCAGCAAGCACACCATGGCGGCCACCATGACAGCTACGATACCACTTCTCATAAGCAAGCACACCACGGCGGCCACCGCGGCAGCCACGACAGCCACAACAGCGACTCTCACAAGGACGCACCCCACGGCGGCTATCACGACAGCCGCGCCAGCCACGACATCAACACTCACGAACAAGCACTCCAAGGCGACCACCACTGCAGTACGTCCCACCAGCAAGCACACCACGGCTGCCACCGCGGCAACCACGACATCCACAACCGCAACTCTCACGAGGACGCGCACCATGGCGGCTACCACGAAAGCAACGACAGCGCCTCTCACGAGCAAGCACTTCAAGGCGACCACCACGGCAACCACGACAACACCTCTCACGAACAAACACATCCTGGCGGCCACAACGACAGTCACGACAACACCTCTTACGAGCAATCACGTGATGGAGACCACCACGACATCCGCGATAACCCCCGCAGCGACGCTCACGCGCAAGCGCACCACGGCGGCCACCACGGCAGCCACGACTAGTACAACATCGGCTCTCACGAGAACGCACGCCACGTCGGCTACCACGAAAGCCACGACAGCACTTCTTACAAAAGCGAGCGCACCACGGCGGCCAACACGGCAGCGACAACAGCCACGACAGCGACTCTCACAAGCAATCACACCACGGCGGCCACCACAGCAATCACGACTACGACAACAACGACTTTATGAGGAAGCACACCACGGAGACTACAACGACAGTCACGACGGTCACCGCAACGACTCTTACGAACAATCACACCACTGCGGCCAACACGGCAACCACGACTACCGCAACAGCGACTTCTACCACGACGCACCGCAACCACGACAACGACATGTACGAGGAAACACACCACGGCGGCTACCAGAAAAACCGCGACAGCAACAACAGCCACTTGTGCGAGGAAGCGCGACACGGCGACTACCACGACAGCAACGGCAACGACTCTCACGAGCAAGCACATCAAGGCGACCACCACGACAGCACATCCCACGAGCAAGCAGATCAACGCGGCCACCACGACAAGCACGACGGAACCTCTTCCGAGCAATCACGCCACCGCGGCCACCACGACATACACGACAGCGACTCCCACGAGCAAAGCTACGGCGGCCAGTACGGCAACCACGACTACTACTACTACTACTACAGCGACTTCCACGAGGACGCACGCCACGGCGGCTACCACGACAGCCGCGACAGTAACTCTTACAAGCAAGCATACTACGGCGTCCACCACGAAACCACAACAGCAACGGCAACGACCCTCACGTGAGAGCACACCACGGCGGCCACCACGGCAACCACGACTAGTGCAACAGCGGCTCTCACAAGGAAACACACCTCAACGGCTACAACGACAGCCACGACAGCAACGACAGCGACTCTCACGAGCAAGCACATCAAGGCGACCACCACGACAGCCACAACAGCACTTACCATAATCAAGCACATCACAGCGGCCACCACGTCAGTCACGACGGCACCTCTTACGAGCAACCACGCCACGGAGGCCACCACGACATACACGACAACCACCGCAGCGACTCTCACGAGCAAAGCTACGGCGGCCACAACTACTGCCACAGCGATTTTCACGAGGACGCACGTCACAGCGGCTACCACGACAGTCACGGCAGCACTTCTTTCAAGCAAGCACACTACGGCGGCCCCTACCACAGTCACAACAGCCACGGCAGCTACTCTCACGAGCAAACACACCACTGCGGCCACCACGGCAACCACGACTACCGCAACAGCGACTTCTACGAGGTCGCACACTACGGCGGCTAACACGTTACCTACGACAGCCACGACAGCGACTGGTACAAGGAAGCACACCACGGCGGCTACCACGACAACCACGACAGCCACAACAGCGACTTGTACGAGGTAGCACCGCCGATTCAGGTAGCACCGCCAGCTCCGACATCAGTGCCGCTGACTCCAACAGCACCACCGACTGCAGCAACACCACCGGGCCCAGCAGCACCACAGACTCAAGCAGCACCACTAACTCCGGCGGAAGCGCCGCCCACCCCAGCTGTACCACCGACCCCAGCAGCACCACCGACTCCAGCACCACCGCCGATTCTGGCATCAGCGACGCCGACTCCAGCAGCACCACTGACTTCACCAACACCGCTGAGGCCAGCAGCACCACAGACTCAAGCAGCACCACCGACTCTTGCAGAAGCGCTGCCAATTCCAACAGCAGCAGCGCCACCGAATCCAGCAGCAGCGCAACCGACTCCAGCAGCAACACAGTCTCCAGCAGCACCACCGACGCCAGCAGCACCACCGAAACTAACACTAAGACTCAGGCATCAGCGCTATCAACTCCAGCACTACCGCCTACAGCAGCACCGCCGACCCCAGCAGCAAGCCATGGCGACGAGAAGCCCACAGGAACCCCCGCAAAGGCAGAACAACTCTGGCGAGGGCAGCCGTTGTCTCGACTGGCACTGGCCTTCCTCCAGCTCTGAAGCTTAGTGATGGCCCTGACGCCCACGCATTGCCACTTTGAGGAAAGAAAGCGCGCCTCCACTTCCACCTGGCCCCCTTCCTCCCTCGGGGGCCAAAGAACTTGGGCCCCTGGCCCCCGACTGTAAGGACGCCCCGTGGAAAAACGGCACACGTTAAGTGTACCCCACCCCCACCTGCCCCTCCACCATTGGGGATGCGGGCCAGGTGAGGGTGGGCGTGCTGGCTTGCGGGCGAGGATTGAAGACATGGCTCGCGCTGGCGCTCGCGCTCGGACTCGGGTTCGGGCACGCGCTCACGCTCGGGCTCGGGCCCCAGGCTTGGGTCCAGGTTTCCCCCATGCGCTCCCCAGCCAATTCGTCTCCCGCGGCCGAGAGGGTCCTCGAGGCCGAAGCCCGCAGGCCCGCAGGTTAGCAACAGCGCCGCCGCGCGCAGCAGCGCCGGCATCCCCCCGTTGTTCGCGGGGGATGCGCGGCGCGGCGGCCGCGCTCACCGCCTGCGCGACGGCACGCGTCGTCCGTCGTCCGTCGTCCGTGGTCCGTCGCCGTCGCCGTCGCCGTCGCCGTCGCCGTCGCCGTCGCCGTCGCCGTCGTCGTCGTCGTTGTCGTGGTCGTGGTCGTGGGCGTGGTCGTGGTCGTGGTCGTGGTCGTGGTCGTGTTCGTGTTCGTGTTCGTCGTGGTCGTGGTCGCGGTCGTGGCCGTGGTCGTGGTTGTGGTCGTGGTCGTGGTGATGGTGGTGGTGGTGGTCGTCGTCGTCGTTGGTCGTCATACCGGAACCGTCGTCGTCGTCGTCGTCAAACTTGCATGGGCGTGCGGGCCACGAGCGGCAGTAAAATTTTCAGAATTCCGTTCCTCCTTTCCTCCTGTTCCTCGGGCGGTTCCATGTGTGGGCTACTGGGGAGGACATGCGGGGAGAAGTCCTGGGCATGCTGTCATCGATTGGTCTTCCCGGGAAGCTGAGAGGAATCCGAATCTCTGGACTTCGGGATGGAAGGGATAACGCACTCCTGCTGTTTTTTTCTGCCAAAACGCTTCCATTTCGCATGTGCCCTCTCCTCACCGCCTCCTTTGTGCATGGGGCGAGGGCCTCCAGCATCTTCATATACACCCGGACGCCTCTCTTCAAAAAGGCGCGCGCGGCAGGCGGGTTGCAAAATGGAGCCCTCATTTGCGTCGGGCCAAACTGGATCACTGGCCAATCGTCCGCAAGCATGCCGCGGCCCCGGCGAACAGCTGGATGTCGCGCTTGACGTCGCCAGCCATCGCTAGCATACGACTCTGCCACTTCACTTCGGTCCCGTTCTCACTCAAGGAGTTCTGCAACTTGAATAGTGTCCTGCATCTCGGCAGGCGTACTGTCTAGGGCCAGCTTTGCCAGGACGCCCTTCCGGATCTAGGCCGAAGGAAGCCTGGGCCCACGGCCAGCTAGCATCGCTCGAAGCTCGGGCACCGCGGAGTCAGAGCACAGGCGGTATACCTCGAGGTCTGAGTTGTTGATATTGGGCTTCAGTTTTGCTTGACGCCGCTCTTGCTCTCGGTTGGGTCGCTACCAGGCCCGCAACTCCCCCTAGGCCCGCTCGCGCATCGACCAAAGAGGCATGCGAGGAACATCGTGGCGAACACGAAACTCATCAACACCCAGCGCATCACGTTGCCATCGCGATGCCCCTCTTGTCGCTGTCGATTGCGTCGCCACCGTTGTGCGTAGCTTCGGATACGCCTGTAATCGCGCTAGGCACAATGAGCGCTACCCCAAGCAGAATGAGGTTCAGCCCGTGCGGCGCTTTGCCGTCGCATTATCGCCCATGGATTTGGTCGGCGCGCTGGCCGCCATGTCAGAGGACAACCCTCGCGCAACCTACTTGGCTGCGTTTGCTGGGGAACGCGTCGTCCATCGTAGCTCCCTTCTTCAAGGGATTCGGCCATATCTCGATTTCGCGGGCCCCCGCATGGTGGCTCCAGCGCCAAATTGCCAGTGCGATTAATTCAGCGTCGCTGAAAACGCTCCCGGCATTGGCGCGCCAAGCGCTGCTGGCGGGGCCAGACTCGAGGGGGCCACAGCTCCGCGCGTCTCCGTCTGCAACTTCTGGTCAAACATCTCCCGCTCAGTCGTCTCGAAGCGACGCCGGCACTCGTCTGGAGGACAATTGTCCAGGTCGTGGCCCCGCGCACCTGGAAGCGCGGCCGCGCTTGTCAATCGCGCCCTGTGCGACGTGCGTCATCTTCCCTATGGTAACTTTCACCCTCCCAAGGGCGGGCCCCCACGGCGTCGCGTCAATCTGTCTCGCGAGGTCGGGGCCCCGCGCGACCTCCCCGGGCGCGCGTCGATCCGCGCTCGTCAGGAGGACGACCTGGCGCTGGTCGTCGAACTCCGACATCCATGCCCGCGGGCCCCCGCGAACCACGCCTCGAACTTCCGTTGGCCCGCCTCGACTTCCGCCGCGACGCGCCGCCCGACCTGCTCGCCGATCTCCGCCGCCTCGCCTTCGCACTCGCGCCCGAAGAGGCAACTTGTCGCTCGAGACCCCCCGGGTCTCCCGGCCCAGGGCCGCGCTGGGCACTGGCCCGCCGAATCCGCCCGGGAGGCGAAGGTGGGATCCGCATTTGGCAACTTGGCGTCGGGCTTCTTCCGCGGCGAAAGCCGAGGCGCGCGCGACCTGCGGGGGCCTCCTCGTCGCCCTGGGCGGGGCGCATTTTTCGATGAGTGAGACGTGGATTGCGTGACTGTCGCCGACTGCGATCGCGAGGCGACGCTCGCAATCGAGCTCGCGCTATCCGCGAGCATGGCAACTGCGGCCCCCCGCCGCGAAGTCCACGAGCTTCGCCGCGCGATGCGCCGTGTAATGGGCCGTCTCTTAGGGCGCGAAGAATGTCCCCGATGCGGCGGATCGACGGTCTACGGCATTCGTGATGGCAAGTGGATGTTGCTCTTCCCCCCAGCGCGAGCCCGCTCTCCGCGGGCTCTTTTCCTGGCTGCGTCGCAGCTGGCCGCAAAGTCCATCTAGGCGACGGGGCGGGCCCCGCTCTCGCTGATCGGGGCGCCAGTCTGGCGAGGGGCGCCCGAGCCTCGCCCCGTCGCGCACTAGGCGCGCCAAGGCCGGCGCGCCTCGCGCGCTGGCCCTCCAGCGGCCGAGGGCTGCCCCGGCCGGGCCGCGCGCTCCGTCTTGAGCGCCGCGTTATCGCCGGCATCCGGTCCGGGCGCCGCGGGGGGCCGGTCGCGGCCTGGTCAAGCTGGCGCCCGAGCAATCGGTGTCCTGCGAGCGGCGTTCATCGCGATGAACCCGTCGCCGTCGCGCTTGTCGAGCTGGCCGCGGGCCTCGCTGATGGCTGCCGCGCTCGCCGCGTGCAAGCCAATCTCCCGGCCGTTGCGGGGGCAGTCGCACTCCGCGCGGCGCGCGCCGGCCCCCCGCCCAAGTCGGAGGGCGCCGGCTCCAGCGGGCAGAAGCAAGGGCAAGTCGTCGGGAGGAACTCCGCGCCAGCAGCCTCCGCCGCACCCCGGGCGACGCCCGCGCTTCTCCCGCGCTCGACGTCCGTCTTGCCGCCGCGGGGCGCGCCGCTGCGGTCGATCGCCCGCAGTTCCGAGATGCCTGGCCCAGCCAGCTCGCGCCCCTTCTCTGTCGGCATCTCGCGGAGGGGAAGCTGATCTGAGCTCCGGGGCCCATCGCGATGTCATGGTCTCTTTTCGCCGCGGCAAGGCGGCATCCTTCCGGTCGCTCTGGTCGCCAGGATTCCCCGACTTGGATATATATATATATATATATATATATATATATATATATATATATATATATATATATATATATATATATCAGAACTCGCCGCTCGCTCGAGCACGAGCTCGGGGCAGTGTAATGCGCACTTTCGCAGGATCGCGCTGCCAGCCGCGAACCTACCCAAGTCTCGAGCTCCCGCCCGAGCCGCCCCTGTCGCCACAGAACTCGAGGCAGGGCCCGGCCCGGGCTGGCGCCGCACCGGGCGCGTTGAAGGGCGCCGTCGATGCGAGCCGCCGCGGCAGGGGCAACCAAGTCCACCTGGCGGGGCGCTCGGTCTCGAAGCCTCCAGCGCCCTGAACGTCGCAGTTTCGGCACTGCTTCTCGTCTTCGGCGCTCCGCTGCTCGGCCCCTTCCTCCGCGGGCCCCTCGCCTCTAGTTTCCTGCTGCCCTGGTTCGCGCGGCTCGGCCTCGAGAAGTGACTGCGACGCTGTTCCCATGCCAAGTTGAGTCTGCTTCTTTCGGGCCTTTGTCAGCGTCGCCCCCCCCTCTTTCCCTCCGCGCCCGCATGCCGACCTTTCCTCTTGCCGCGCTGGCCCGTCATCACTTGAAACTGCTCTGCGCAGACAAGGCGGCGATGAACTCCGCGTCGGCGGCCAGGTAGCTGGGGGGGGGTCAACATGCGTCTGCAGATGCGCCCCTGTAGCTCGCTCTCGCCCTGTCGGGCACCCAATAGGACCCCCTTCCTGACGCGCTCGCTGACGACCTCGTCGGCGGCCTTCTCGGAGCGGTCGAACTGCAGATCTAACTTCCCGATATCATTCGCAATGTCCATGTTGGGGCCGAATTGTGCGTGCATCTGCTGGCGCATCATGGCGGCGACGTTGCCTGGTTCGTTCGGTGATCAATCGGACTTTAATCGCAGCCATGGCATGCCGCAATCTCTCCGTCGCCGCGCACGATGTCTATCACAGCGATCTCTTCTACGGGATCTTCGGGCATGGCGAGGATCGGGTTGTCGTGCGCCTGCGCACTTGGGTTTGACCACTCCGGATCGCCAGCCGACATCGTTGTGCTCTTAAGCGTTTCGGGATTATCTATGGTGGTCACATCGACCCTCTCGAAGAATTATGTGCGTCTCCTGTCGCTGGCCACCACGCAGGCAAGCCAGTGTTATTTCCATGTGGCCCATCCCTGTCGTGCCGTCGAACTGCTTAATTTATCAGCCCCTCGACTCCAACAAAGGACCGATGGGGGCCCATCTGGAAAGGAAGAACTTCTGGGGCGCGCCCAGGAACCCAGTGGGTCTGGTCTCCGCAGAGGAAAGAAACAAATCCCTGGCGAGGGGTTCGAGCACGGGGTAAACCCCGCCTCAACTTCCGGAAGAAGAATGAATTCTCAACCGCGGGGGTGCCCGCGCGAGGGGCCCCACCCCCCCCGGCGCAACCAGAGGAGGAAAAGCGTGAGAACCCAGATTGTAAGTGCAATGCAGCAACACTCTAATAGTGTTTGCACTAGGGAGTTGTGCAAATAATAAGGGATTTGTGCTAAGGAGCTGTACGAATACTAAGGAATTGTGCTAGGTACTTGTACTAGGGCGTTGAATTTGGGAGTTGTATGAATACTGCTTGCGCTAAGGAGTTGTACTAGGAAACTTCATTCGGGAATTGTATTATTACATTATAGCACTAGGCTGCTATACGGAATTCTAATACACTTGTACTATCACGAAGGAGTTGTATCTGGGAGTTGTACTCGGGACTTGTACTAGCGAGTTGTACTAGCACGCGGGAATTGCATCAAAGAGCTGTATTGGTACTGTCTGTGCTGGAAAATTGTGCCAGGGAGCTGTACTAGGGAGTTGTACCAGGGAGTTGTACTACTACTAGGGGACCGTACTAGGGCGCGCTGTTCTACCAGTTGTAATATGATACCACTTGCACTCTAATACTTGCACGGCAGGACAATGTGCTCGCTAGGAGCAACTGCGCGCTAGTACATGATAGTGCTAGCCGTACTCGAGTACTAGCTGTACGGTAGTCGGAGGGGTTCACGGGTTCCAATGGCAACTCACGCGCGGAAAAGGGAAAGAAATCCATGTGCCGCCAAGGGTCCCGGCCTCAACGGGTCGCCGCGAAGGTTGACCCCCGCGGAAAGAAGAAAAGAAACCTGGCCAGGGGGCTGGGGGGGTCAGGAATGAGTCGCGGTGCTGGTCTTAACTCAACGGATTATATTCGCCTCGAACACACTCCCGAAGCGCTGTACTAGCGGCCGTATGAGTTGTTGAGCTGCCTGCTGCTGCCGACCTGCTTGTAGTTGCTCCTGCCGCCTGGCCCGCAGCTTCACGTGATTCCGGAGACCGTCGATCTAAATGTCATACCTCACGTGTCTCGCCCACGTCGGGGTGCGCAGCGGCATGGTTCAGCAGGCCGCCGACCTGCTCCTTGCTACCGCGTAAGGAAATATGAACACCCAGGATGTGGGATGGAAGGGATTACGCACACCTTGCTTTGAACCAAAAAAGGTGCAGACCACATTTGCCTCTTCTGCTATATCATTGTTCCTTTTGCGCCTGGGGAGAGGGGCCCCAGCAATTCAACATAACCCCAGCAGAAACCCACTGGAATGGCTCAGAGGAAGGCAAGGACGGGGACAGATAGATGAGCCCCCCAACATGTTCGGGACGTAGCGAAACTGGAAAATAATGAAGTGCCAGGAGGGGCCATGCCTTTCTGGCCAACTCTACGGGGGCGCTGGGTGGTAGCCATGATATTTTAGCAGATCGGCCGGGCGCGATCCACGCCAGGTGCGTGAGCAGCGCGTTTGGGGCAAACTCAAAAAAGTTCGAGGCAGGAACGAAAAGCCGTGAGCAGGCCTTAGGCCTTAGGCTGGAGCAGCTTCCCTTCTTGAAATAGCTCATCTGGGGAGACCGGTGTGGGAGTTCCCCGGAATCCCACTGGAGAGCCCTGCAAAATATCCCCTTTCGAATTTATTTTCGGCAGGGTTTCCCTCAAGCCCTGGGGTCAAGATTTGGGGGATGTTTGGGAGGTCCGGGACGCCACATGCAGAAACAACCATGTGTCTGAAAAATCTCACAACAGCTCCCCTGAACTCCCTGACCCCGCTTAAAACCACCCAAAAACATGTGCCCCCCCATATCGCAATCCGTGAAAACCCCCACAGCAAGCCCCACACAAAAACTGTTGAAGGCGGGCCGAGGGCGGGGAATTTTTGGGGGCCCCGGAGGGTCTGGAGGACCCCCCCAAGAAAAATTGGGAGGAGGATCCCTGGGGAGGGCCTGGGACTGACACGCCCTGATGCAGATGGGGGGACCCATGAGACGTGAGAAACGTGCCATAAAGAAATTGTGAAGCAGAACGTAACAAACTTCAAGCAGCATCTGCGGCCCTTAGAACTGTCAAGAAATATTGTGAGTCCGCTGGGAGCGAACAGACCCCGCCAGATGCGGATTCCGTGGTGGTCGAATACGCGCCCAATCTACAACCTGAAATGAAACGCTATTAGGGGTCGACGACGCTGAGGGTATTCCGCCTTCTCCTCGTAGCCAGGGACTTTCTGACTAGCTTGGCAATGGCTACAATGTGTGCCTTGCCGACGTCGTCTCCACGGAAAATCCGAATCCTCCTGTCCTTCCCTCACCTCCTCCTCCCCCTCCTCCTCCCCTTTCTACTGCTCCTCCTCCAACTCGTCGTCATCGTCGTCGTCGTCGTCGTCGTCGCCGTCGTCGTCGTCGTTGTCCTGCTCCTCCTCCACCTCCTCCTCCTCCTCCTCGTCCTCCTCCTCGTCCTCCTCCTCCTCCTCTCCCTCCTCATCCGTTCCGTACTCCTCTCCTTCTCCTTCGGTCGGCCCGCCCGCCTCATCATGCGGAGGGCGCCAGGGGAGTGCTTCGTTATCGCGGCGGGGGCTCGAGCGAACTGTCCCGCAGGACTGGCCGCTCTGGCGTCACGCGGCGCGTTAGGAGTACTCTTCATGTTTCATGGACAAGCCGATCCTCCTCCTCCTCATCATCATCCTCATCATCATTATCGTCATCATCATCATCATCATCATCAGCATCATCAGCATCATCAACATCAGCATCATCATCAGCAACATCATCATCATCTGCATCATCAGCATCCTTATCATCACCATCATCATCGTCATAATCGTCATCGTCATCATCGTCGTCATCACCACCAGCACCATCATCATCATCAGCATCATTGTTATCCTCAGCATCATCGTCACCAACATCATCATCAGCATCAGCATCATAACGCACATCATCATCATCGTCACCATCATCAGCAGCATCAGCATCACCAACAGCATCATCACCACCATCACCACCATCATCACCATCAGCACCATCACCATCATCATACTCAAAGCCATCATCATCAAAGACAGCATCACCGGCATCATGTTGATATCCATCACAACTATCAGCAGCATCATCATCCTCTGCATCCTCATCATCAGCAGCCATCATCATCAATATTACCATAGTCTACATCATCATCATCATCATCATCATCATCATCATCGTCAGCATCATCATTGCCATCCTCATCATCACCATCAGCATCATCAGGATCGGCATCATCATTATCATCGTCACCATCATCGTCGTCATCATCGTCGTCATCATCATCATAAGCATCATCAATATCGTCACCATCATCTTCATCATCATCATCGTCGCCCTCACTACCATCATCTTCGCCACCGCCGCCACCACCACCATATCAGCAGCAACATCATCAACAACATCATCAATATCATCGCCATCATCCTCATCATCATAATCGTCCTACTCAGCATCATCCGCCATCAGCATTATCAGCAACATCATCATTACCATCCTCCGTCTCCTCCACCTCCTCATCGTCTTCATCATCATCATCATCACCATCATCCTCACCACAATCACCATCACCATCATCATCATCCTCATCATCACCATCGTCAGTCCAATCACCCTCGCCATCGTTAAAGACTGGGTGGGGGAGTGGCCTGGAGAGGGGCGGGAACGAATCAGCGGGAGAAAGCGCGGAAGGACGGGAGGGCGGGCGGGTGGGGGGGGGGGGTGGGAGCACCGAGGGAAGAACAGCAGATACTATATACAGATGAATATGTATATATATATATGAGTATATGTATATATATATATGTATGTATATGTACATATTGATGTGCATATATGCAGAGGTCGTGTGAGAGTACATGCGGCTCCAAATATATCAGATCGTACTGCACAGGACAAGAGGATGTGTGAAAACGTGGTGTGCGACAAGCGAACAGAACATGAATAGACGCGAATGATACATACACCTGTGTACAAACACATGCGTACACATATGTAGCTGCAGGTATGCCGTGAACCTACGACGCTAGGGGGAATATGGTTGGGGACAACATTGGGGGAGGAGAGGGAAAGAGATAGAAGGAGAGAGACAGGAAAGAGAGAGAGAGAGAGAGAAAGCAACCGCGAAGGAGAGGGAGGTATGATAGGGCGGGGGGGGGCAGAGGGAGAGGCATAAAGAGGGTGAAGGCAACAGCGATAACCACACCAAGGAAAACACAGAGCGACAGAAAAGGGCGGGGCACACAAACTATACCCCAGTGTACGAGATACACACATGCTAGCCACCGTGGGCCCCAAACAACGCGTTTCTAGGAACCTACGTTACGAGATCCATGTAGGCCATCTATGTACTGCCGCATATGTAGTGCAACATCTGTTTGCACACATGCGGAATAGCCGATGTGGTCCAACAAATGTTGTGCAAAATTCGGTGTGCAACGTGTGGTACGCAATACATGTTGTGCAACCGAGATGGTGCGCGCAAGTGTTTCAGAACGCTGATGTTGCATGATCATGTGTTTTCTGTATGTTTTCGGGACATTCGTTTTTTTGAAATCCTTACGAAACCTAGAGTTCTTGAACGATGTTGGCATGACCGCGCGACGGCGCGCGCGAGTGCACTTCGTCTCGTTGTTTTGCAAAGGGCTCTTGGGACAGCACGCGCGCTAGGGCGCTCGAGCTATTTCGGCATGCGTGCGCGAAAAACCCGCTTGGTAGCAGATCATGGGAGCTGTCACAACCGACACTTTTGCGCTCAGGCGTTTCTTGAACATCCGGGTTGCGAAATCATGCTTCTAGATGTTTTCGTGACACCAGATTTTTTCGAACGTGTATATATAGATAACAAAAAGCAGTCCGCAACAAATCAAACATACATATGTTTGTATATATATATATATATATATATATGTATACATGTATGTATGTGTTCATATATGTATGTATGTATATAAACATATGTGTATACATATATATATATATATCGGAAGTTGGGGGGTGATATCGAAGTGAAACGGAGACTCCCCCTACCGGGAAATCGATTTCGGTTTCGTGTTCGTGCGTGCCGTGCGTGCGGGCGAGGCGAAGCTGCGTGGGCGGGCGAGAAAAAATCTCCTTTGGCTGAGGCGCGGCCGGACCACATGATTGCCGTGTTGGCGTCTGGGGGCCCGCGGTGTCCCGCCCGGTGTCCCGCTGGGAGGCACGGCCAGACCAAATGATTGCCGTCTAGGCGTCTGGGGGCCCACGGTGTCCCGCCGGTGTCCCGCCCGTGTCCCGTCGGTGCCCCGTCGGTGTCCCGATGATGGTGATGATGATGATGATGATGTTGATGATGGTGATGATGAAGATGGCGATGATGATGGTGCTGAAAATGATGATGATAGTGATGATGATGGTGACGGTGATGATGATGGTGATGGTGGTGATGATGATGATGTTGATGATAATGTTGTTGCTGATGATGATGACGACCCGTGTTGTTGTTGATGATGATGATGGTGATCGATCGGGAGAGATCGATGATGAGATCGATTTTGAGATCGGCAATGATATTGATCGAGTGAGATCGATACTGAGATCGATAGTGCAAGAGGGGGCACGGGCTGCGCCGGCCTTTGCCAGCGCTCAAGGATTATGTGACCACATGGCGCCGTTGGCTGCCGTTGGGCAGGTTGGGCAGGTTCCCAGGGGGAGGGACGAATGGTACCAAGGCGCCAAAGAACGAAGGGTGATGTAAACACCTCGACACCGACGCTCCCAAGAGCGAGCGGCAACGCAACACTCTCCATTGGCATCGTCACAACAACAATCACAACTGTTGCCCATTGCTGGGGCCCTCCCCCCCAGCCTCCGTATCACCCGCAGGGTGGTCGTATAGGGTGTATATATATATATATATGTATGTATATGTATATGGTAAGGGGCCGCTCCTGTGATCCACCTTGCGTCGTTTTTTACGGATAGTCAGAGCGTGCGAACTCATTCGTAATGTAAGGTATACACAAAAAATCCGTGTGCGATCTTACTAAATCTATTCTTTTTGAGCGTAATTCAAATGGAATCGACTTGCGTGGATCTACAAATTGATTCGTATAGTGTAAGATACACTTGAAATCGTTCTGTATAGACTTACACATTGATTCCTATTGTGGGTTTCAAAAAGACTTCCTTTGTGCCTGATTCAGGAGAGGGGGTGGTTTTGGCAGACGACGAACACAAAACAAAAACACAAAAAAAAAAACAACTGGGAGGACCAAAGACGCTGTGTTTTTAATTGTAAAGTGGTTTTTATGTGTAAACCCAAAAAGACAGAAAAGCCAACTTGGATGCAAGGAAAACCTGTGTTTTCACAGTGTTTGCGCAATTACAATTTGAATCCTTTTGTGTGGCTCTCAAATAAAATCTTTTTGTGGGGGAGTACAAGTTGATTCCTATTGTGTAGAAATCAATTAAAAACCCTTTTTGCAGACTCACAAATTGAGTCCTTTTGTGTGGCTCTTAAATAAAATCCCTTTGTGGGGCACTACATATTGATTCCTATTGTGCAAGATACAATAGAAATCCTTTTTGTGCAGACTTGCAAGTTGATTGCTGTTGTGCGGCCTTTAAATCGAATTCATTTGTGCCTGCCTCCAAAAGAGGGGAGGGGAGGCAGGCTGGCCGGCGAAAAAAACAGAAAAAAAACAATTTGGAGGACCAACAACGCTGTGTTTTTAATTGCAAAGTGGTTTTTACTTGTAAACCCAAAAAGACAAAAAAAAAAAAAAAAAAAAAAACTTGGGAGCAAGGAAGATCTGTGTTTTCACAGTGTTTGCGCAATTACATGTTGAATTCTTCTGTGTGGCTCTCAAATAAAATCTTTTTGTGGGGGATTACACATTGACTCCTACTGTGTAGAAATCAATTGAAATCTTTTTGTGCTGACCCACCCATTGAATCCTTCTGTGTGGCTCCCAAATAAATTCTTTTGTGGGGAATTACAAATTGATTCCTATTGTATAGGAATCAATTGAAATCCTTTTGCGCGGACTTACATATTGATTCCTATTGTGCGATCTTCAAACATAATTCCTTTAGCCGGCCTCCAGGGGGAAAGGAGGGGCGCGGGCGGACCACGCAATAGAAAAAAAATTGTAAGTCGGCACAGAAGGATTTCAATTGATTTCTACACAATAGAAATTAATTTGTACCTCCCCACAAAAGGATTTTATTTGAGAGCCATACAAAAGGATTCAATTTGCAAATGCGCAAACACTGTGAAAGCACAGGTTCTCATTGCTCCCAAGTTGTTTTTTTTTTTTTTGTTTTTGTCTTGTTGGGTTTACAGTTAAAACCACTTTACAATTAGAAACACAGCGTTTTTGGCCCTCCAAATTTTTGTTTGTTCTTTCTTTTTTTTGTTTGTCTTGTTTGTCTTTCTCTCCGGCCAGCCCGCCTTCCTCCCCTTCCTCTGGGGGCAGGCGCAAATGAATTCGACGTGAAGGCCGCGAAATAGGAATCAATGTGTAAATCTGCACAAAAGGATTCATATTGTATCCTACACAGTAGGAATCAATATGTAGTGCCCCACAAAGGGATTTTATTT